GGGGCCTAGTCCGAAGTCGTCTGTCATAATTTCCAGCATCAGACTATGATGCCGGCGAAGCGTTTGAGAATGAACCAAGTCCACTGTCTGATGGTGGGAATCATGAAAACTACTATGGCAGACGACTTCGGACTAGGCTCGTTCTACTAAGTCACTTTGACAACAAGATCAAGTTGCGACAATGAGGTCAACCTAATTCTAAAAAATAATAAAGCTTACCCAGCAGCCAAAGTCATTCTGTCAAGATGGTCTAGTAACTCGTCTCCTTCAAGGGAAAGTAGACAGGCGAGCACCTGGGCCTGGCGATATACGTGCTGAAGACTGGCCTCGAGATGACGAAGCGCAAGGGCTGGGCAAGTGATCCTCTCGGATAATTGCCTAATAAGGTCAAGCAAACGAATAACTAAAGGGGCCGGCTCTAGACTGCGTAGCTTCAGCCGACGGCCTGATGTATTGCTAGCACCAGTGCCACCCCATGACGAGTTTGGGCCGATTCCACTAGAGAAAACGCTGCTAGACGTTTGGATAGTGGGAGGTTGAAGTGGCTGTGGCTGTGGTTCTATGGGTTGAGAACGATGTGAATGGAGGAAGAAATTGGGGGCTTTGGAGGTAGACCGAATAACAGGATTGAGAGTGGAATCAGTATAAGTAATACGAGAATAGGCTGAAGAAAAGTAATTTTAAAAGCAGATATAAGGGAATAAGTTTAGGTTCAAAGTGAATAAGAAATATTGTTCGATGGAAGAAAATTTAATTCCTAGCATATTACCATTGATATATAATCCATCTGTAGGCAGATTAATGGAATATTTATCATCCGGTATTGCGACATAAAATATTTGATTATAGTGCAATAAAATTGAATAACAAGGATAAAATGTCTAAAAAATTCAATTAGAGGTTGCACATTAACCTTAAAGATGCATAAAAGGCTATATTTATATATCAGGATACCTGAATCAGTTGAGCCAGTGTGACCAACGCCGTTGACCAAACCCACGATTGAAGTCATTAAACTTGGTCTTCTAACCTCATTCGAGTGCCATGCTTGTGAATCATGGACGTTTGATGAGGAAATAGATGAATGTCCAATAAATTGCCGAGAAGTGGCCGAAGAACTAATAGGCTGGGGTTGTTGCTGCTGGTTTTGGAGGCAGACAGTTTCGGTACCGGTCTGCCTGCGGTTAATGCGACCTGGCGTCGAACGCATTGTTGGGGCTAATCTCGGACTCGTTCCTGGATTAGAATTAAGAGTTCCAGGGATACGAGGCATTGAAAGATTCAAAAGATGAGGAGTTGGAGAAATCACTAGTCCTGATATCTTGTCAGTCTGCATGCTTCGATGAGCAGGAGTCGAAGAAGGGGGCGTTGAAGATGGTGGCAAAGATTGAGGATCATCTAGACTAAAGGTCTATTGGAACAGACAATAGAAGAAAATAAGTTTATACTTTTTTACTTTAAAAGACAAATAAAATTTGAGACACATTAATTTTTAAATTAATATTTGCCAAAATTCGTATGCTCAGAATAGAAACATAAAAAATAAATAGAAAAATAATAAAGCCAAACACTGAACACATGCCAATGATTAGTAAAAATATTTTAGTCCAAAAAAGAGATGTGTTGATATATGTTTCTTAGGCTAGCTTTTATAGAGGATAACATTTTTAATAAAATAAAAAAATTATACATGAAAAAGGATAAATGCAATGGTTCACTAAATAAAATTAGACCATAAGTGTTTGAATTAAGTCGTGAAATAGAATTCATTAGAAGAATATCTAGCAGCTAAATTATAATAAGCCCGAAGCTTATGCAGAACAAGGAAAATTAGTCCATTTCATATATAGCAAAGGGTTGAAAAGCTAGAAAAACCCAGATGAATGAGACTAGGATTTTGAACATTTAATAGTATATCCTTAACGTAAACCAGAAAATGAGACAAATATTTAAATCGATTGAAGATAATCTGCAAACATGAAATTTTAAACAGAATATATATATAAAGGATAATATGAGAAAGATTAAAAGGATCCTTTAAATCAAAAATGATGTAAATAACAATAATTGAGTGGGTTGACCTCGTTGTCGCAACTTAGTCTTGTTGTCAGGGAGACTTAGTAGAACACACCTAGTCCGACGTGGTCTGCAATAGTAGTTGTCATGCTTCCCAGCATCATCCCACAACAAGTTGCGACAATGAGTTCAATCCACTTCTATAAATCGAAATGAGACTACGACTATACCAGAGGCCACAATATCTTGATCTTTATATCTTCAACAATAATTAACTTAGTACTAAATCTTTGAATGGCATTATTTTCTGAAGGTTTTTTAGGTCATCCTTATAACCCGATTAATACAAAAAATAGCTCACGGAGAACTCCAAAATTTTGCTTCTTAACCCACTAATGACTCATAAAATGCATATTATATTATCTTTACCGATAAATTCCACCTATTAAACTATAAATAGATTATTCAATTTTCTCAACCTATCAAGCCCACTCTTCTGATTCGAATTCGTCCTAGGGTCATGAGCTTGAACTAACCTCAACTGTTCTCGTATCCACATTAACAATGAGTGAG